AGACAGACAGAGAGAGAGAGAGAGAGAGAGAGAGAGAGAGAGAGAGAGAGAGATGGATAGGGAGGCACAATGGGGTGTTTTTCGGAAATTCTAATCAAGTCCATCGAGGGCACAGTGGCAACATCTTTTCATCCCCTTCCGCACAGCGTTACGATAGAACGCCGCGGTAGGAAGGGGTACCCTCCCCCCTATCGCTCTTTCCCCCCTCTTGCGGCGGTCGAGCCGATATACCGAACATATAGGTGTCTCGTCACCGTATCACCTATCCACCCCACGCGAGAGGGCGCTCTGGGATAGCGTTGGTGGCTCGGGAGGCAAGGGGTGGCGGCGAGAGAAAGAGAGAGAAAGAGAGAGGGCGACGACTGAACGACAGGACGGTCGAAGGGAGTTGGAGGGATCGGTTAGCGGAGGGCCAGGGGGTGCGCGTGCGCCTGGTCGGAGTGAGCCGCAGCCACTCCCGATCGTCGGCGACCGTCCCACACGATCCTACGAGTGATCCCACCACCGCGTCAGTCTAGCGTCCGCATCCGCACAGTCGACAACCCCTAGTCCCGAGCAACCCCGGAAGGTAGCACGAACTTGCACGCGTCCTCTACGCGGATTTTAGGTCACTCTGTAAGTCCAGGCGGTCGCGGGCGCCAAGCGGGGATAGATGTCGTCGAGGGTGTCGGGTCGTCGGTCGGTCTATCGGTCGGTCAGTCGGTCGGACGGATAAATCGGAGCGCGTTATCCCGCGTGGCGACTACCGCGATTCCGCTCTCGGGGATGAAGAAGACGAGACAATCACCTGACTGGCAACGCGACTTCAGGTCTGATCATCTCTCGCCTCTCGTTTTGTCCGCGAAGGATTTTCCCGCGGGTATATAAAAGAAACTGAGTCTCCTCTTCGCGGATCTCGTTAGCGGGTCAGCTTTCTCGCTTTCTCTTTGAGCCGGTCCGTTACTTTGCGCTGCTGAGACGAATGTTGTTCCTTGCGTTATCCTCCGGTGTACGTTCAAAGCACGAAGATATATAATTAGGTTGACAGGCAGAATTCTTTTGGTCAAGCGCGTGTTTCCGTTGAATCACGTTCGAATCAAGCCGAATTGTAATCGTCGTCCATCACGTGACTGTGCCGTTGCCAGTGATAGCAAAGCGCGAAATTAGCGTTGGGGAAAATAGCATTCTGATTTCTTTTCACGGGACTCGTGTTTCCTCCGCGTGAAAGTTCCGCAAGGTCGAGAGCTGATCGTAGTCGCGGAGCAAAAAGGGACTTGAATTCATCACTCGATCGCAATATGGTTGTTAAATCCGGGAATATCTGAGAATCCCTCGGGAACCGTTTGAGAATCCTTAGGGAGGGAGATAGGTAGGAAGGAACGAGGGATTTTCGCGCCTTGGGTGATCAAGTTTCCGCTAAGTGACATCCGCGTAGAATCATCCGGCGAAGGTAATAGGAAACGAGATCGGGTCACCTTGCAGCAACGCAATCGCCGGATAGACATATATATATATATATATATATATAGTCGAGTCTCGTTTGATTTAGCTGGGGATTTTAAGGGCAAAAGACGGCGGGAGCAAAAGTTTTCTATAGTCGAGTTTCCGTCAGGCGACACCTGCGTGGAATCATCCGCCCAGGATCAGGCGAAAAGAGTCGGCGTCCCCTTCCCCCTTGCAGTAAGTTGTTATCACGTTTATCGGCTCGTCGCATTTGTGTCTCGCTCGGTTGAGAGAAAAGGAGTTAAATATCACAAGTCCGCGTCTCGCGTCCACTTGCTTTTTCGCGTCGACTTGAGCGCGCGAAATTTTACCTCGCGCACAGCGCGGTGGAATCATTCGTCACGCGGCGGGATCATCCGGGAACATTCGCGACATTATCTCACGCCGAGATGGACGCGTCGCGCGAGCATCGCGCGGATTTCCGGCGAGTGAGACCGTGTGAGACCCGCGCCACGTTGGCCGATACGTCTCCATTATTCGATCAGTAGTCCGCGGGGGCCGTAAAAAGCGCGGGCATTAATTAAATTCCCGTGCCGGCAGCGCGGCCGAGTTTCCACGCGCGCGCGTACTGTCGCAACATTCGTTACGTTCTCCCACAACGATATATCGTCGCCGTTGCCGTCGTTTGTCTTCAAATGACCCGGCGTTGACGATGGCACCTGTCCGTGTGTCATGCGGGCGCATAACACGTCACGTGGGCGCACACTGGTTGTCGGTGCGCAGATAGATTGCACGTGACAGCTCGGCCTCCTGACGATCGGCGTCAGCGAAAAGTGGGGTCATCGCGCTTTAAACCGCGCGCCGCGGAAACACACACGCACGTCGCCCGGACTCGCGCGCCTCGCTCCTCCGGCTTGCTCGCGGATCGCCGACGTCAGGCCGCGCACGGCGGACTCGTCAGGGGCTGACCAGCGAGGTAAGTTTCTACTTGACTGTCTCTCTGTGCTCGCGCGCTACTTCCAGCGACTTTCCATTCGGCCCGCGTGTTGACCGCCAGTCCTCCGCGGCGCTGCGTTTATTATGTAGAATGAATGGTCGTAGTTATAGCAGAAATAACCCAGTCTATAAATCATGATTTTTTAATTATTGTTTTACCAATAATTCATACGATAATTCATACGTCTTTTTTCTACACAGAACAAGAAAAATCTAAGCTTTATGGGTACCTAAAATTAATTTAAAAGGGAGCTTTTATTTTCTAGTCATTTCTTTGCGCCATTCTTTACTTGTGTCTTTTTTACCCATTTTTTTAAGAGTTAAATTTATCAATGAATATCCTTAAGGGAAAGAGATTTGGTTATGCTTGACTTCTTGAACGATTGCGAAGAACCTCAGTGTTAACTGTATACTTTTGAAATCATGTATTAAATTTTCGTTTTCATTTATCTCGATACGTACTTTATGTGCGTTGAATCATTCTTGCACAACTACGGCCAATTTGCTTAGTGATGTGCAGAAGATTGAGATTTATTTTGAGAAGCTCTGAGATATATAATCAAGTCAAGTAGAGAGAGGCCAGAGAAAGCCATTGCGTTAAAGTCTGTTGAAGTTGAAGAAAGTTGCGTTAAAGCTCAAAAATTGACGCTTTGAAGAGTATAATATAATTTCCAAGTCGCTTCTCTCGTTTTAGAAATAATTATACGTGAAGGTTTTTATATTAATACGACAGTGCGAAATTTAAATCTCTTATTCTGGAAAGATAATAACATTGTAACGATGTAGCGTATATAAGGTTGTAATACTTATTATTATTATTAAAAGACAAAGTACAAAATGCAAATACGAATAATTCTCTGTACAAAAAAAACAAATGAAGAAGAATCTTCCTTTGAATGATTTACTGTTAGAGATACACACACATCCACATTATATAACAGTAAATAACCTTATTTAACTACAATGCGTTATACTGCAAAAAGAAAATAAAAGTAGCATTAAAATTCCACAGTCGATATTTTAACTATTTTTATTTTATGTTACAAGTGAGACATAAGTCGCTTGTGTCACTTCTCAGAAATAATTGTACGTGAGTTTTATCAATACGACGATGAGAAAATGTGAGCGATTCAATAAAAAGCACTTTTTAATATATGAGGCACAAAACAAATAATACTTAGAATTCAGTTAAATGACAGTATTTGGTAACAGCGGACGGTAATCGATCGCTATGTCGCGCAGGCCACTGATATCATGAAATATTGCGTAATATTTCATAATATTTCTACGCTTGCAGTTCAAATATCAAGCTTGAATGGAAAGTTGAGCGCGGACCACCGGTGGCCGCACAGAATGTGTTAAGTATCTTTCGCGCCCGACCGACTCGGGAGAACTCCTCCGACCGTTTTGACCAGGAAAGTAACGCTTATGCTATTCACGGCGATAGAAACAATGTAAATATACCTCTCCCTCGCGCGCGCGCGGCGCGGAGAGCTTCCACTCGTCGAAATTATAACGTTCCCGATCCTTTCGTGCGGAGAAATTCGATGAGCTTTTGGCGGACTAAATTCCGAGGCTCTCTATTATGCGGTGAGAGCCGACGGCGACGCGTCATTGTGTCCGCGCGATGATTAACCACGACAGTAACGCACGAGGATACGAGTCGTAGTGAGAACGAGAACTAAATGTTTTTGACATGTGTGCTGCGCAGGGTAAGTTTATGACGCGTGTTTGTCTCGTAGCATTTTCGCATTTTCGAAACCTGCCCTCTGTTTTTCCTCGCGCACGTATTAGTCTTACCTTCGTCAAGTTTATTTTAACGATAGAATTACATTATTGTATGATGCAAATTTTGTGATTAATTTCATACAGTATATTTGCTTCGTAAATGTGATTTAAGCAACTGTAGAATTTCTATCATCAATTGTCTCGCGCCATAATCACTATTTGGGCATTTTGGTTTTACTTTTAACGTTATTTTTATGCATAATTTTAATTAAGGAAGAATTCTTGGAAGAATATATTAAAATTGAATTTACATTGTGTACATCGAAAGAAAAAATACCTAAAAATTAGTAAATATTTATTTTTCACTGGTACTAACAGTATATTTACGTAAATCTAAATTTTTTATTTAAAATAAAATTTATATAAAATATATAATTATTAATTTAAAATATATTAAATAAGTAGTAAATAAATAAATTAATTAAATAAGTACTTAATAGTAATTAACCCTTTATAGGGCAAGATTCCTTGGATATGACAAATGAGTTTTTTCTTTTGAACTTCATTAAAATAGTTCTTAGAGATATTTTAATATCATTATTGAGACTGAAAAAAATTTTTGATAAGAGATATCAACCGGTATAACTGTTGTAGCAGTGACCATTCAGGGAAGCAAAACCACTCCCGATTCTCTCGGCCAATTCTGTGCTGCTGGTACGACTTATGTACCAGTGCCCTATAAAGGATTAATATGTTTTCATGAAAAACTAAAGAGTTTCTTTAAGGTTTTAAGAAAATGCATATTTTCTTATTTAAAACATGTTTTACATTACTATATATCAATCAAAGTAAATATTGATTTTGTATTAGTATAAGTGTATATTGATATGTTATTGTCAGAGTTAATCGCGGCTTGGTGCATAGCGTAAGTTTCCTTTTTTTGGCGTAACAAGACCAGTTCACGAAATCGGACTGCGTGTTTATTTCATTATTTTTCATCGACTCGCATGGCTCCGCGCGCAGCGAATCACGAGAGCTGACGTGACATCGAGATTACAGAATGAAAATGTTTTCCATAACGGGCGATTTCATATCATCGCGAGCCTCGTGGTCTGTCAAATCCAACATGTGTTCATATTCGATACTGCATACCAATCGACGCTATCGGAATTATTTAATGTAATACCTTCGACAGGTGCCCTCAACATCGTTTATTAGCATCGCGCGTAACTTTTTTAATCGCGGCGCGCCCATAAATCGGTGTTGCTCGACGATTAAGCTCGCGAATCTTTTTTTCGGTATTAGAAAGAGCCCGGCGGCTTAAGGCAACTTTATGATCGTCCCGAAGATAGGGCGATGTTTGCGATCGAAAGTTTCAATTAGAACTTGGGAGCACTTTTAAAAGTTCCTGAAAAGCGAGTCCTCTCTCGTAGGATTAGGCGCGTGTCTAGACTCTCCAATAATCATCGCCGTGAGATACGACTGCGAGCGGCACATCGCGCTAAGTTAATCGATCCCGTCGACGGGATTTCAGACTGTAATCCCAACGTATCAACTCGAAACAGGCAAGATAAGTGGGCAAATCTAACGCGTCAAAAATATCCGGGATATTTTCAAAATGCGGAAACTTCTGGCCTTGTCTTACTGCGCTTCGCTTTGTCGCTCTTACCGGTTCATTGTCGTTTATCCTGCGAGGCCATTTATACAAACAGATAATTTACAGACGTAAATTTGGCAACAAATTTACTAGTCGTTTCGTAAAAGTTACTTCCTTTATGAATGATTTATATGATACTCATATTCACACTCAAAAAATATAATTTTATCTCTTTAGCGGAATCCTCTTATATACAACCTAAAGGAAATTCTTCTGAAATCAGAAAAAATATATTCTAAGCACAATATTCTTCTAAAGTTGGAGGAATTTCGTTTTTATCGATAATACAAGTTCAACCTGTTCTTAACAAAAGTTTCTTTTAATAAGAGGATATTCAACTTCAACTAAACATATTTTTTTTTATTTACAAAAAGAAAAAGACAATATCTAATAAATTTTCGATTTAATAGTCCATCTCACATTATAAGAGGAATACTCTTCTAAGGGAAATAAAAAATTTCTCTTAGAATATGGGGTTACAGGAAATAGCACTTTGCAATCAGAGTTCTTTCTAACGGTGTATAGCAAAAAACTTACATTATTATATGGTGCAAATTTAATAATTAATTCGGTACAATATATTTGCTTTATAAATATAGTATAAGAAAATGAATATTTTACCAAGAAAGAAGATGTAGTCTTATCCTTAACAAAATCCTCTTATACATCGTCTTGAGATGATTCTAAACACTATGTTCTAAAAGTTAGAAAAATTTCTTTTATCTATAAAATTTCTTTTATCTACAAAATCTTGTTCTTAATAGAAATTTCTCCTAGTAAAAGTGTATTCTCTTGCAAGCACACATATTCCTCTTAACTCAAAAGGAAAAAAACTTAATATCTAGTGCATCAAAAAAGATTTGCTTGGATTAATCAAATGTCTGGTGAAATATGAATGAACCAGAATTGCAGCTGAAGTTACCAGAATTCTATTTAACTTAGCAAGATTCTGGTTAATCAGGAATCTTGTTTGGTTAACCGGAATCTTGCTAATGTGAATAGAATGCTGGTAATCTCAACTGGAATTTTGATTTGTTTGAAGACGAATATTCTTTCGGCAAAAATTTCCCTTAAAATATACGATTACAGGAAATAGAACCTTGCAACTAGAATTTCTTTTTCGGGTGTTAGAATATTTTCCTTTCAGTTTTAGAAGAATTTTTTTGAGGCTATATACAAGGTGTTTCAGGCTCTCCTCCGAAATTTTTGTGGGAATGTAGAACGGATTGAGATGAACATAAAAGTCCTGTATCATTTTGTGATATTTACAATAAATCTCAAGAATAATTAAACAAGATTACTGAGTGATACGTACGATATAAGCTGTGTAGCGATGTGTGCTATTGTGTGCCTATATATTAGGACAAATTGAGCAAAAAAGCCTTTTATCATTTTGTAACTATGTAGATTTTTAGTCATTAATGAATTTTGCAAGTAACTACATAGATTTTTAGTTATTAATGAAAGAAAATTGTCTGCGATAATGCACAAATCTTCTCTAATTAATATCTCAAAATCTATGTAGTCATTTGCAAAATGATAGAGGACTTTTTTGTTCAGTTTGATTTAATATATAAATATACAACAACAGACAG